GGCCTGGTGGCAAGATAATTTTGGAGTCACAGACCTGGGCTAGAATTTAAATACATTACCCTTTTCAGACTCAGTTTCTTCATATATATCGATAGAGGGTATTTACATAATAGTACATAATTGATAGGTAGTTTACTGACACACACTGTTTTGTCTTACACAGGAGTCATGTTGCTTGGGTTTGACTCTTGGCAGTCTAGGTTTGTAATTTTAACAAGTCATTAATTTGTGCCTTGGTTTCCTCTTTAAAAATGTCCAATGCATAGTATTATTATGAGGATTCATTGAGTCAAATCATGCTAAGCACTTAGACGTATGCCTAGTCAACAGTAACTTCTAGATTAACTCATTATTAATAATATGTACCTTACAGGGTTGTTGTAATAAAAACACGATGACTTATATGTGAAGTTTTCTAATATAGTGTCCGTGATATGGGCTCTTTTCTATTTGGTAGATGGCTATATTTTTAAAACCTCCAGAGGTCTTTTGTAAGTTAGAATACTTTTTTTTTTTCCCCAGACTGATTACTGTTACAGGAAGTTTGCTAACATGGCGGGGAAACTCTAGTCACTATTGCCAGGTTGTCATAGTACCACAGCCAAGTTGTCCCACTTTCATTATCATGGATTCCCTGCCCAGTGCCTTTTGTTTGGTAAGGAGACCATTGATTGTTCAGGTGTTTGCTCGCTGTGATTCTGGTGGTGCTTTCTTTCCTTGTCTCCAATAGAATGAGATGGTTCGGGAACTAGACGGCCACGTCCTGAAGTGTGTGAAGGATCAGAATGGCAATCACGTGGTTCAGAAATGCATTGAATGTGTGCAGCCTCAGTCTTTGCAGTTTATCATCGATGCATTTAAGGGGCAGGTAAGTGACTTAGGAAAGAAATAAGGGAAATAGTTTGTTAGGTGTTTCTATTGCAAGCAGAGAAGAGGGTAGAATTTGTGGAGTGTTCTCAAGTGTTTAATTTATCTTAGACTACAGTAAATAGCAGTCATGTTTAGTGGTGTCAGGTACCTAGCTCTGTGTACCCAACTGTCTTCCCTTAACTGTCGGTGGACCTTCTCTCCATCATTAATGCTACTTGTGTTGTGATAAGATAGTCATCAGAGTTAAGATTAAATCTCATAGTTGAATAAATTTTTTTCCCTTTGGTCAAGTAATATTTATCTTTTTAAAAGTTTTTTTTATTATCATATTTTAAAAATCATTTATAGAACTAATTTTGCAGGTCTTGTGTAAATATTGTTTAAAATAACAGGGGCTTTTTGCTTAATTTTGGGGTGGGACAGAGTGGTGATCAGGTTGGTTTGAACTCTATTAAGTGACCACATAACCAGAGATGGATTCTAATTTCTCCTGTATGTCATAATAGCCTGGTATGCTCTTATCTTCCAAGCAGAGTTATTTTCTTATACCACGATATTTCCAGAATTGTCCTTTAATTGGCTGTTGTCATTAATTTCCTTTGCCAAAAAAACAATGTCTCATATTTCTCCTAAAATAGATAAGCGAGTAAGACATATCTTCTTGGGTGTACAGAATAATAATAATAATTATTTTTTTTTTTTCAGAAAAGGGAAAAAAGAATGGGAAATAACAAGTAGATTTTCAGGTGTGGTTGTCTGTACTGCTAAGCCTAGATCAAAATGAGATTTTAGAGTCGTTCAGGTTTTGGGGTTTGCTCAATTATGTCAGGGGAACATTGATTATAGACATTAACCCAGGGGATTATTGGGACTTTCTGAGTTCATAAAGAAAGTAGATTTGTTTACTTTAAAATTAAGATCTTACATTTATTGAAATATATAACAAAGGTAAAAGGATTAAGCAACCAAATGAGTGAGAATATTTTCAAGATGAAACTACCAAAGAATAACTAGAATATATAAAGAACTCCTGTAACCAAAGTGAACAATATAAATTAATGCAAAAGTGGGTCAAAAGCACAAATAGAAGAAACACAAATTGCCAGTAGACATATAAATAAATAATTCCATTAGTAATCAGGAAAATACAACGTAAGGCCACAAATGATAGACCATTTTCTCCATATTGGCAGAAATGTGAGATCTGGACTACTGCTGGTGGGAATAGTTATTAGCACGACTGTTTGGGAAAATAATTTAGTATCAACTTCCAAAGCTCAACATTTATATTTTCTGTGACCTGGCACTTCTGGCCTAGGAGTGTACTGGTGAAACATCTGTACATGCCCACCATGAGATATATTTAGACATGTTCAAAGCAGCATTATTCTCCTAGTAGGAAAAGACTAAATGTCCATTAGCGGAGGATTGGACAAATTTTTTTAAATAAAAACCTTGTATACTTGCCCAACATTATATTGTACAGTTATACAGAGTAAAGTACAGAAGCCCACAGTATTATAAGTAAATGTTTGAAACATATATTGAGTGAAATTATAAGTAAATGTTTGAAAGATATATTGAGTGAAATTGTAAGTAAATTTTGAAACAATATTGAGTGAAATAAGTCAAATTGTTTCATACTGTTTAGCATTTTAATTGAGCAGAACCATACAGTATCCTATTTTAAGTATAGTTACACACGTGAAGTTACATATATAAAGCACTAGTGCAGTGATTGACACTTGGTAAACATCTAATAAGTGTTACCTGTTATTGTTCTTACCATTATTGTCATGGTTCTTGACAACAGATCTGAGGAGCTAGTTGGTCCAGGTCATTCAGCTGGGAAGGGCAGAACTGAATTTGGTTGGGCTGGGCCTGAAGCCTGCGCACTTATTTTTCTCCATACTCAACAAAAGAGGAAGCTTTTCCTTGCTTATTATTTGAAAACATCCCAGTTCAGTTCAGAAAATTGCTTTGTGGTTATGTGAAAGCACTCAGGACTTGAATCTAGCCCTTTTTCTGTTTTTAACCCTGTCCTTTGACGTGATGGACTTTGACTAATTCTGTGCCTTTCTACGCTTCTTGGAAAACTTTTCATCTGAATTTTTGCACATCTATGAATTCCTAGAATAGTTAGGAAATGGGTTTACACACATGCACACCTTATTTGTAGAGAGAATTAAATGCCTTATTTATAATTTGGGCTTTTGAGTCCAACTAGGAAATAATATCCTGGCTCTGTCATTTACTGTTTGTATGACAGTTGGCACATTATGTAATTAAACTTCAATGTTCTCATTTGTATGCGGAGAGTAACCATGACTCTCTCAGAGTCATTTTGAAGATTAATGGGATAATGTCTGTAAACAATACAGAAGCATTAAAAAATGGCAATTATCGTTTTTGGCTTTCTTACTTGTGTTTGTCTGCCCTAGGTATTTGCTTTGTCCACACATCCTTATGGCTGCCGAGTGATTCAGAGGATCCTGGAGCACTGTCTCCCCGACCAGACACTCCCTATTTTAGAGGAGCTTCACCAGCACACAGAGCAACTTGTACAGGTAGTGGAGTTGCCAGTAGAGTAACTGCAAACACCTGTGGGCTCGTGCAAGCCCAGAGCTTGTGTGTTTTCTCAGCACAGGTATCCGCTCCAGAAGAGGTTAATGTTAATGTGTTTTAAAATGCCCACTGAAGCTTTGGGGCAAGTTTTCATTTACACCAGCCTGGTTCGTGTATTATGAATATGAGTGATGCATAGAGCCCTGTAGACTAGCTAGCTGTTTTACCTGAGGCAGGCCATTTAATCTAAGTCTCAGTTTCATCATTGCAAATGAACTAAGTGGTTTAGTTAATTTTTTCCTTCGAGCTACCACTAAAAATTTCTCCCACATCATACTAATCATTTGAATACTTCTGCATGTAGTGTGTTACACTAAAAAAAAAAATTTTTTTTTTTTTGGTTCGTGTTTTTCTTGGTGGGAGGTATATTATAAATATATTAAATATTCATTGCGGAAGAATTTGAAAGTACAAAAAGTAGCCACAAAACAAAAGAAGTTATCTATAATCCTACCATCCAGATGCAAACACATTTGGCATTGGCACTTTTTACTTGTACGTTCTTACGGTTTTACATCTTACAAATAAATATTTTGCCTCTAGAATTTATACTTACATTTATTCTCTCAAAGTGTATTTCACTTTAGATAAATGAGTGTATCCATTATATGTGTGTGATGTTATTTAATTAGGTGTTGTCTGTTTTGCTGTATATAAACTTTATTTCTAGTTTTTCTTTGTTGTAGATATAGTGGACCATTTATACATTTCCATTTGAGAGAAAAGTATCTTTTTATTTCCACCTACTTTCCTTCCCCCTATCTTTTTTAAATGAGAAGAGGCCTACGTGTTTGTATATAGTATTTTTTGAAGTACCCAGCTAGAACCTTTGAGCATAAATATATAGAAATATTTCATTGTTTAGTAGTAATGTGTTCCTGTTTTGTAATGATAGGCAGTGACAGTTTTCCCCTATTTTAAAAATTCTTGTATGTTCATTAGTATTCATGTTAGGCATCATAGTGCTTCAGGAAGATGGGTGTTGATGAGATTTAAGGATTTTAGGTAACCCACTGAACTCATTTTTATATGCATTTTATTTCTTGTGTTGTTTCTCAAACAGGATCAATATGGAAATTATGTAATCCAACATGTATTAGAGCATGGTCGTCCTGAGGATAAAAGTAAAATTGTAGCAGAAATCCGAGGCAATGTACTTGTATTGAGTCAGCACAAATTTGCAAGGTATGTACTTTGAATTACACAGATTGTTCTACAGAAGAGACATTTAAATAGTATTTCAGGTCTAGAGAGAAAGAATGAATTTTCATTCTTTTCTTTTTTAAAAGAAATGTTTATTTTTCTTAAGATATACATAGTTTAAAAAGTCAGGTAGTTCTACTACAAAGTATAAAACATAAGTCCCTTAGTGGGCTCCTCATTCCCCTAGAGTCAGCCCCTTTTAAATCTGGGGTATTTGTTTCTAAAGAACTATAAGTTTTGTACTTTGGTAAACTGAACATTTCATTTATTTGTTTGGAATTGTAAGATTTTTTTACTCAGTTTCTTCTTGGGCTCCTGAATTAAGAGGCACTGTGCCATATCTGTATATAGGTCTTCATATTCTTAGAATCTCTTTCAGTCTTCATATTGTGCTAGCTCCAGAATAAGATGCACTTGTTATTCCCAGGTTGTGAAAGATATTTTAGGTAACTTTAATAGCAGAGGTTTGAGAAGAAAGCGATGATCTCCAATGGGTTAGTGGTATGATCTTCTACGCAGAGTCTGTATATCATACTGTATACATAACATGGTATTTTATATTTTTGGAATATTTTTCTTCTCTGGTTTTTAGGATAAATTGCAAAGCATATGTGACACATATAATCTTGGTGGTTTTAAATCATTCATTTTCAATTTGTGAAATCTTATAACATTATAGCTTGGAAAGTAGAAAGAAAAAAAAGAAATAAAATCATCCATAGATCCAGTATTTTAACAGCCTTATCATATCAGGGGTCAGCTCATTGGTTTTTTTGTTTGTTTGTTTGTTTTTGTTTTTGTTTTGTTTTTTGGTTTTCGACATTTACCAGGACCATGGAAATACTAGAATATCTCCAGTATTCTTAGGAGGCAGAGTTTGGGGCAACCATGGCAACGGAAGTGACAATAACAGGGAAGAAATCCTGGAAAGGAAGAGAACCAGAGAGGGGGAGGCCTGTGTTTAAATTTCCCAAATGTCTGGTTGACTCTTCAATCACATTTGCATGAGACAAACTCAGGGCAGCCCAACTAAGGCTAAGAATTGAACCGAGATTTCACCTGCTGCCTACAGCATGGGAGAAGTTTTGCAGTTTGAGTTCAGCCTAGTTAATTACAGTAAATTAAGGGATTGGGGAAGTAATACTCTTTAGAGGAACATAACAGAACTCAGTTTTTGCAGTGTATCATTTACTATGTCTAGATAACAGGAAAATATGACCTGTACTCAGGAAAAAA